TGCGCCGCGAAAAAGCTGATTTATATTTCCGGACTCGTCGCGGCTGTGCGACAAGTGCGGCGGCTGTGAATTATCATTACGCGGGAATTATCATAGCGCGCGTTGGCTTACTACGGAATGCCGTAACTCCGTGCGTACGCGTCAGGACAGAAATAAATTCAGTGCGCGCGCGCACTCGCTCGCTCGCTCGCATACTTGGCGAACGCGTGGGTGCGAATGCGCGCGCGCGCGTTCGTTCGCTCGCTCGCTCGCTCGCTCCTGAATCATCCGCGAGCTCTCTCGCGACCGAGAGTAAGCGATTAATCGAACCGATCTTGATCGCGCACGGACGCGCGTGGGTCGGCCCCGGCGATGTTATCGATGCGTATCGCTTGTGCCGTGACGAGCGAATTTAAAGTAACGCCGAAACGACACACGGCGGACGAGAGACGAGAGACGAGAGAGAGAGAGAGAGAGAGAGAGAGAGAGACGACGGCCGATCGCTCCGAGCGACGATCTTATTAAATCCGGACGACGAGATATAAAATCGTGCCCGGCGCGCTCGCGGCGATCCTCTTCTTCGTCCGGCGGTCGGAGAGGAGAGGAAAAAAGCACGAACGGGAAACGAGTACCGCGGGTATCGTCGGCAATTTTATGAGGATCGCGGCGCGGCGTTTCGCGTTAGCCCGGCCGAAAAGAGAGAGGGCAAAAAAAATGTAATACAGTTAGGAGCGGACGCGTTATCTGCCGGCGCGCCGATCTCGCGCGAGCGCCTGCGATGCAGCGACGCGCGGCCACTATCCGCGGATTTTTCATGAATATTCATGACGCGCGAAAACAGGAGCGTTGCTATTACACCGGATGTGCGTGTGCGTGCAACCCCCACGAGAGCGCTATTATCTAGGAATCAGCCGGTCGTCGGATAATATCGTGGGGGATGGAGGCGGGGGACGAGCTGAAATTTAACGACGCGACGGAGCGGGGCGGAAAACTGCGCCATTTTTCCGCATAAGCGGCTTCGTCGGGATTCAAGAGCGAGTGTGTCTCGACAAAGTTGCGAGGCGCAACCTTCCTTCCTCTCCTCCTCGACGACTCGATCGCGCGAGATCGAGATGGACGTTCGCTTACGTAATATTTTTACTAAACGCTTTTTACGAGACGCGCGTGATGATGTTGTCGGCAGGCGCTGCCAAGTTCCCGATGCGCGCTCGACGGCAACGACAGTTTCCGCCTCGCGCTGAACAGCGCGATCATCGCCGTGCGATTTATAGAGCGCGATTATCGCGCGCGCGCGCATGAAAATGCCGACTGTGGATTTATAAAAGCGGGAGCGGCGCTCGTGAATGGTAATAAACGTTATTCCGAGGGGGCCTCCGCGTCGCTGATGGCCGTCGAGAGCGAAAAATCACATCCACGCGAGCGCATTCGCCGTCGTACCGCTGACGCGTGTTTTATACACTGAGCGGAAAAAAATGGTTATTCTCTCGAAATATTTATAGTTATTTCTCCGTGCAGATTTTCTTTTGTTTTCTTTTTTTCCCGCAAAAGAGACAGCAGCAGCCGGTATGCTCACGAGTTTATTATCAGTGCAGTGGCGCTCGCTGCGAAAATATCGATTGCAATAGCCGAGACGAATCGAGCGAAACGCCAACGTGTGCGTGGCGAGTCGCGTTTATTTGCGACGCATCCTCGGTGGCTCGAATGGTCAACCCGAGAATTAAACGCGACCGCACGTTGATTTCCAAGAGATCGCGGCCGACGTCGGCAATCGACCGCGACTACGTTATTCGTGTCGCGAGATCGAACGCGGCCGTTAACCACCGAGCCGAGAGCACGCTAAACGCGGCGCGATTCAATCGCCGCTTCGTCGTGGCCGAGCGGGATATCGAAGCGGCGGCCACGCCGACGACGTACGCCAGAACGCGCCGGGAATGCACGAGGTGGAGGCACGCTCGAACAGCTGACCGCCCGTCGTCGGCCATATTGTCCGGACGCGCTCCTCGTTCGGCAGATCGGCGGGTGCAGATAAAATTGCAGGGTCGACAGAAATATCGCCGAGATAACTGGCGTTCGCGCGCGCGCGCGCGCGCACGCGAAAGAGAGAGGGAGAGTTATGTCAGCGCGTCAGCGTGGGACAAAAAGGACGCGAGCCGAAAAAGGGCAGCGCGAGCCAGGGAGAAGAAAGAGTCGTAGTCGCGGCGGCGAGGGTGAGGGCGACGCTGGTAAAAAGTCCCGTGAAATCCCGTAAAAACAACGCGACAACCCCCGGGGGGGGGTGAGGGGCAGGGAAGGAGGATGAAGGAGAAACGGGGAGTGAATACGCAGGCAAACGACAACGGCGACGTGGCGGGGCCGTGAAGAGAAGTAGAGGGGAAGGGAGAGGACGGAAGGAGCGATAAATATCGCGCGCTCGCGGCATGGAAGTTTTTATTGCGTCGAGAGTGCGAAGTGCTCTTCTCTCTCTCTCTCTTTCTCTCTCTCCTCTCTCCTCTCTCTGTCTGCCTGTTCATTTTTCGCCGCGCCGTCCTCCCGCTGCGGCTGTCGCTCTCGTTGTCGCAAAAGGGACGGCCGGCCAGCGTTCCACTCGATGTATTGTATATAGTCGTCTTCTCCCCCCCCCCTCCCTGCCCTTTCACGAAGCGTCGATAGTGTTTTCGCTGACCCGATTATCGATAATCGTTAATCGCGCGGCGATGATAATTTTGCACACGTATTCCGCGTTGCCGGTTGCGGCAGGGGAGCGGCGCTTTTGTCACAAAATAATCACTAGTATGCGCGCGTACAGTTTGTAACGTCGCGTCGGGGGGATGATGAATATCGCGCGGAGAGGAGGCGCAGGCAGGGGGTGCAACGCAGGGGCGAAGCGCAGCCTCCGAGGAAGATTCGAGGAGGAGAGCGCGCGCATAGCTGCACGTAGAGCTTGTTTACTTTTCATCGCGGCTGCGCCGTAATGCAGCAGTGGATCCAATTACAGACAGGCCATCGTTGGCTCCGATTAATTACAGAGCCGCGCAGCTGCTCATCTCGCCGCGCCGCGCGTCGCTCCGCTGTATTCGTAATATTGTGTTTCGCGCTTCTCTCTAAATTTAGACTGCGACTTTCCGCGACGCCGCGCCATTTGCAACGCGCGATGCTCGCTCGGCTCTCGTGTCTATCTCCCTCTCGAATCTCATTCTACGCCCCACACGGACGTTTCCAATTTGCGATTAACTGAAAACCGTAAAACCCATCCCGAGCGCGAGCGTGCCGCTCGATCCTCTGCTGCCTCGAATTTCCACCGAGCGTCGAAATTCGAAAGTCGAAATTTATTTATACTTATCTTATCTATGCTCGACGGCCGAAAGTGCCGCGTGAGAGCTTTGTTTTTCGACGGATTTCGAGTCGAGATTGGGACTTGAAAATTTTGAGCAACATCGCGATTGAAAATTATTAAACTGACGCGCGTAATTCGAATGAGGCGGCAGAGGGGAGGAGCAAGGGAGAGAAGAAGACGAAACGCGGCTTGGCAAAACACACACCCTCTTGTTATCAGCGTATGCCATTGAAGGTGGCGGAACGGCGTCGGCAAGAAGCACTCGATATATCGATCGGCCGCCTCGGCCGGTCTAGCAAGTAAGCAGGTTTGCATGCGTCGCATGCAACGTTCTGGCATTCGCCGGCAACAATGTGCATCCGCAAATTTGCACAGACATTAAGAACGCTGCGCCTTCCTGGCTGACGGGAAAAGATGGGGATCGGTTAATTAGGTGGGCTGTGTCGTTGCTGCGGTGGTCGTCGTCGTCGTCGTCGTCGTCGTCGTCGTGGAATAATAACCGGGATAATTAATTTGATGCGTTATGAGCTCTTTTTACCGCGGTTAATGACAGAGATGCTCGTATCGTCACGGGACCCGCCATCTTCCGTTGTTCCGCGCGCGCGCGCGCGCGCAAACGTCACCCCCTAATTTTACAGATATCTCACATCGGTCTCCACGTTCGCAATGTTATTATCTCCGCGTTGAGGGTGCGACTGCGTGAACTTTTCGAACTTTTCTCGAAATTACCATGTGACTTTGGCGTAAAAGTCGGCGGCTAAATAGTCCGGGGCTTCTATCGGCAACGAAAAGTTGATCAGGATACACGCGACTTCGTCGGTGCGTCACGATACGGCGAGATTAAGATGGCTAATGAAGAGCTAATTGCGTGTCGCTGATCGACGCTTCATCGCCTACAAGACGACTCCCTAGTCGCGGTGGCAATCTCGAGAGAGAGAGAGAGAGAGAGAGAGAGAGAGAGAGAGAGAGGGGAGAGACGACAGTAGGTGCGCGTTGCGCTCGCGTATAAGGAGACGGGACGAAGAAGAGTCCTGATGCACTCCGTGCGTCGCTGGCTTCGCACTTCATTAAGACGTCCGCCGCAATTAAGTAGCCTTTACGATCGGCATAAAACCCGATCATTCCGAGCACGCACCGGTCGGGTTCTTCCTTCGCGGCGAGAGGGCGACGACGACACGACGAACGACGGTGACGTGTCGACCACCGCGGCGAACGGAACGCGTGATCGAAGAGAGGCACGAGCCACCTGTGCTCGCTCAGTCTCTTCTCGTCTGAGCGTCACCATGTTTTTAGGAGAATTTACTGACTGCGCTGGGCAATCCGTTGCTGCTCTCTTCCGTCGTGCCGTGAAACGTACTACTCGTCCGAGATCGTGACTCGTAAAAGGAGTGTATTTTTGCGACGAATATCAGACAGCGAGCCAAGACAGTTGCTGCTCGCTAATCTCGCTAGGATCGCAGCGACAGTGACACGCGTACAAAGTTACCGCTAACATCGCAGCGACGAATCTCCTTCCCCCCTCCCGCAGATCGCACTTGTTGCAAAACTTGCGTCTCTCTCTCTCTCTCTCTCTCTCTCGCTGTAGCTTGCGGTTAGCTGACTGTAGAATTACGGTGACAAATACTTGTTCCGCGGATATTTGACTAGCGGTACTCGAGCGGTGACTGGAACTAACACGGCGCGTTGCGCTCCGCTTCTTCTTTTGCAGCGAGGATGTCGAGCAGCGGCGTGTCGAGCGGCCCGGTGAGTCAAGTCTGCCGGCCGCACTTTCACAGCTCGGTGCTCCACCCGTGGCTGTCGAGCAGTAGCGCGGACACCTCCAAGACACCCTGGGGATTCCCGGCGACCACGACGACCACGGGCGGCGGCGTGAGCGACGAGAAGCCGCAGAGTCCGCTGGGCTCGTCGTTGCCGGCGACCACCGGCGGCAGCCTGTCGAGTCACGGTGGCGCGGGACACCACCTCTTCTCCTTCCCGCCGACACCGCCCAAGGACGCCACGCCCGACAGTATAACCGCCAGCACGACCTCCAGCACCAACAACAACAACTCTACGAGCGCCAACAACAACAACAACAGCGGCAACCCTCTGTCCGGCCTCGGCGGCGGCACCACCAGCGAGTACCAAGCGGCGGTGGCGCACGTGGCGGCGATGGGCGCCTTCATGCACCACCAGGACGCGCTAGGCGCGTCCGGTGCCGGTTCCTGCGACATCAAGCCGACGGTGATGCTCGGCCACCATCACGGAGCACCGTCGCCGCCGCATCAGCAGCACAACGGCACCAACAACGGCAGCAACGGGCCGACCGGCACGAACGGCTCGTCCGGTCAGGTGAAGCAGCGAGAAGGTAATAACCAGTCCGGCAATGTCACGGCCGGCAGCCAACAGGCGAGCGCCACGCAACAGCAGCAGCAACAGCAGCAGCAGGACGCGTATCAGAGCAACAACGGTGTGCCCGCCGGCGGCGGCGGCGGTGGCGGCGGCGGTGGCGGTAGTAGCGGAGGCGGTGGCAACGGTGGAGGCGGCAGCGGCGGCGGCGGTGGCGGCGGCGGCGGCGGCGGCGGTGCGGTGTCACCCTGCAGGGAGAGCTACGCGGCCGTGGCCGCGGCCGCGGCGGCGGCCGCGGCGGCGTCCAACAGCCACCATGCCACCGGCTCGCAGTACGACCCCGCCGCGTCCGCCTACAACATGTACCAGCACCTGCAGTATCCCTCCTCCACCCACCACCACCATCATCATCATCATCACGGTGTCACCGCCGCGTCGTCGTCGTCCTCGGCCGCGGCCGCCGCCGCCGTCGCCGCCGCGTCGTCCCACAATCCGCACAACGGCGGTGCCGTCGCCGGTATTTTCGGTCACCACGCCGCCGGTGCCGCCGGTAACGCGACCGGCGTAACCGGCGTCGGAGGCGCCGACACCAAGCTGTTAGTCGGTCACGCGGCCGCGCACGGGAACACGCCGGGCTCGCCGTCTGCGCAGCAGCAGCAGCAGCAAAAGCCGAGGAACAAGTCGAGGACGTCCGCCGGTAAGCGGCACGCCTGCTGTCACGGTTCTTTCTGTTCATCTTCTTCTCCTTCTTCTCCTTCTACTTTTACTATTACTACTACTACTACTTTTTCTTCTTCTCCTCCTTCTTCTTCTTCTTCTTCTTCTTCTTCTTCTTCTTCTTCTTCTTCTTCTCTACCACTTTTGTCTCGTTTCTTCTGTCACTGTCGGTTACGGTTTACGTTTCGTTTCGTCACAGAGTCCGAGCAAGGGTTTCGTTTGTTTCCGTTTCCCTTTTCCGTGTGTTACGTTGGTTGTAATCTCTTTTCTCTCATTCGCCTTTGTTTTCCGTTTCATTTTAGTTCGTTCAATGCGTTTATTGTTTGCTTCTGGCATCCTTGGTTCCGCTTCTCTCTCTGCTCGACCGGCGTCGATTATCGGGACCTGAGGTATCAACGCGGTATATATACGTTTTTCGCCTCGTTTTGTTTTGGACACGTCGAGAGCAGCATGTCCGACTTTTATTTCGATATACGTTGATTCTTAGCGTAATCGACGCCAGTTTCATTTAGTTTCCCCGATTAACATTACTTCTCCCGCGTGTTGTGTTTGGTTGAATTTCTTGATCGGTTTGTATCTTACTTTAGTCTTGGAGGCTCCTCAAGTCTCTCTCTCGGACATTTCCTTCGCGTCGCCCGCGTGTCCTCGTTCGCTCAGTGTCCACTCGGTATATCCTCCCTCCCCCTATAATATCTGGAATGTACCGGCTGGACATTGCGAGCGAACAAAGAGGATGCGCGGGCGGAACGCTCGTTACCGACGACGGTATCCATCTCGTCGTCTCACTCTCGAGATCATTCTCTGTCTTCTCTTTCCTCAATTGTTTCTTTTTGATTTTAACCGTGAGCTTTCGGTGGCGGTCGTCTTACGCTTACAGTTCTTTCAGAACACGTTTTTTTCCACCCGTTTCTCTCGTTTTTTGAACGAGCTGTGTCACAATAGAGAGAGAGAGAGAGAGAGAGAGAGGGAGGGAGGCACTGAACTCTGTGGTTTTTTGTATTTTGCCTCACTGATGTGTTTTTTGCGTGGCACCCACGAGAGAGCGAGCGTCAAGCACCACACCCGACTTACCGAGATGTGACACACACACACACACACACACCACACCACACACACACACCACACACACACACACCACACACACATACATATATAGATCTACACATGTGTACATCCTATTTATATACGTGTGGAAATACACATTGAGCGGAAAGCGAGCTGCAGCATCTTCTTCGTCAATGAGCTTCGCGACGAGTCTGTTATCCTGCGCGAGAGACTTGTTGTTCCCTCTTCTCACGGGCCAAGTTGATTCTGTCGGATATCAGATGCGTTTTCAAGTTGATCGGTCGCTGAAGATGTCGCAACCCGTCTTTCATTTCCTACACATATGTATTACAACACACACACACACACACAACACGCGCGCCAAGACGCGAAAGAGCACAGGTTTTTTTTCGATGTGGTGTGGCTACCGCTGCGTTTTTGTTTTTGTCACGGCAAAGCTCCCTCTCAAAGAGTCCACGGACCATTTTTCGGTGTGCTCCCGCCCATGCGTAAATGTTTTTTTTTTTTTCTCTCGTCGCGCGAGCAAGTTCCGTTCAGCCGCGAGTCCGCAAAGTCAGCCGCGATCGCAATCGTCGCTCGATTGCGGCTCGAATCGCGCGTCGCACAACGAGCGAACAACGAGCCAGCCTCGAGCGATCGTCGAACTTTTGAGAGAATTTGCAGCGCGCGCCGCGCGTTCGCCCGCTCGCTCTGCGATATAGTTCGCGCGACGACGTCGTCCTCCTCTTCGCCGACGACGTCGACGAAGGAGGTCGTCGCGACGGGTGGAGACGAGAAACGGTTGAAAAATGCCGGATACGCTGATTGCGGTAATAATAGCCGGTGGCTCTCCAGCAAGGCGGCGGCGGCGGCGGCGGGCGGCGGCGGCAGCAGCAACGGCGGCGTGGTAAAAATCCCAATTCCGGGAACAATGGCCCCCGGCTTCGCGCCATGGAAGCCCGCTAATTGAATCGACTTACGACACACATCAGCGACGCGCGCTCGCTCGCTCGTCCGCCCGCTCGCTCACTCGCTCGCTCGCTCGCTCGTTTATTCTCGATGACGAAGGAGAAGCCACGGACGGACGGACGGACGGCAGCCGCGGCTTAGATTTAGCGACGCTTACCGATCGGCCGCGAGGAAAATCACCCGCTAGAAGGCCGCGGAAAATGGCTTCCGCGGTATTACTATAGTCCTCCGTTGTGAGAGAAAGAAAGGGGAGAGGCACACCTGAGAGACCGAGAGAGTCGATTGAGCAACACGCCTCGATGGCGCGCGCGAGAAACGCGCGAGGCTTGCAAATATCCTTCGTGCGTGGACAAGAAACTCTAAGGATCTCTCTCTGGAGGAGGGTCGTCTTCCCCTCTTCAGTTTCCCTCCGTAGCTCCGTGGACGAGCGGGCGCGGACGCGATTGGTACCGCGAAGCAGAGGAATCGGCAATTAACGACGCATCGTTCATAAGTCGCGCGGGTGCGGTCGCGGTCGCCGACCGTCGGTCGACGGTCGTCATCGAGGCAGGAGGGGGGGGGGCTTGGCCGTGAAGGGAAATCCCGTTAGAGCTTCGAACGGTGGCGTTGGATCGCGCGCGGAGAGTAACGGCGCGCAATTAGCGCGGGAAGAAAGAGAGAATAATGGGGTTGTTGAGGGAAGAGGGGGGGGGAGGAGTATACAGTCGTGGGCCAGCGCGAAATTTGTGCGCGGAACGGCGCTGAATCGCTGAACTCGGCCGTTGTCTCGGCGAGAGAGTGCCGCGGGACGGAGAAGAAGCCGGGCTTCCTTCCTCCTCGCCGGTCGATCTTCTTCGCGCTCCAACGACCACCCCGGCCCTAAATATCTCCTCGGCCGTTGTTTCCGCGACGAACAATAGCTACACCTCCCTGGGCCGCGCGCTGAACGTCGTGAAACGCTTGGCGGGGCGGGGGAGGGGCGAGAGTAGGACGATGGATAATTTTTTTTCCGGCGCGAAAGACTCGACGTTCGATCTTCCTCTGCTAATTTCCCTCGGAAGCAGAAAGCTCTGGCTGGAAAAGGGGGAAGTATCCCGTCGACACACGACACGACAACTGTCATATCCGTGTGACTCGGAGGTGGAATAAAATTGTGCTTCGATCGTGCGGATCGCGACGAGTTTGTGCGCGTCGTAGAAACGAGGGGGGACAATCCGAGGCGAAAGAGAGAGGCTCGGCGAAGCCGAGCAGGAGCGGAAGCGCCGGCTGTCTAACGAGCCCGTCCCCGTGGATGGGATGCGCTTAAGGTCGGAGGTGACGCCGAAAATGAGAGCGATATCGGGCGCTCGGCGCTGGGGCGAGACCAGCCATTTTAGCGTCACCTCGCGACACGAGGACTATATTTCGAGCGACGTAAACGAGCGTCACCTCGACGTTTCGTGGCTGATATCCATCGGCCGCCGCCGTTCGAGGAGAGCCGCCCGTCTGTCACGAACTGTCCGCCCATCGCCCGTCGGACGGGTCGATATAGTCGCGCGGCAAGGCATTGATACAAGGAAATGCGCGCGCGGCGAGGAAATGATTATCAGCGACGAGAGCGCGAAGAGAGCGGCGAGATCGATCGCGCTCGCACAATCGCGAAGCGACAGACAGGGAGAAAGAGCGAAAGAGAGTGGTATGTAGGGTCGGAGGAAGAGAGAGAGAGAGAGAGAGGCGAACATCGGCCACGAGGATCGTCTTGTTCGCCCACGCGAGTACGTTAACGGCCGAATAATAAAGCGCGGACGATAATTGGGAAATAATAAAGCGCGGGTCTCGGGATTTAATCGGCCGACCAGCAACGGGACGTTATCGAAATCGGATCGCGGCTAGCGTTCGGCTCTCGCCCGGGGAGAGCGCGCGCGGGCGGCGGAGGGTGGGAGAGGGTCAAGATTCGTCGCGTTTAACGCCGCCGCGGCCGCCGCCGCCGTTATTGTCGACACCGCGAGGGAACGAGATTCGACGCGCGCTCGTTATCACCCCCGGATCTGCCGGACGCGGTAAGACCCAAATCGAATTGAAACACCGCATCGGGAGGAGAGTGCGACTCGAAGCCGAGTAGGCGCGCGGGCGGGGAAGGTGGGTCCTTCCAATTAGTTCCGGGATCGATCCGGCCACCGAAACGGCAATTAGGCGTGCGTTAAAGCCCCGCTCGGATCCTGTTAGCGTCTCTCGTCTCCGTCACGGCCGGGATCTAGTTTGACCGCGCGAGGAACCGAAGGGAAAAGGCGGCCGTTCGATTGCTCCGTTATGGATTCATCCGCGCAAACGGTGGACTCGCAAACGAGCCGCTCGCGTGTCGACAATTACGCGCGACCTACGTCACGCGCGCCGGAATTACTCCGCCGCCGCCGCCGTTGAATTTCACGTTAAATCGAGGTCGAGTCATTAATCAGCGCGAATTCGACGGATTCGATCGATGCCGCGCCCGATCGCGCGCGTCTTCTCGTCGGTCTCGGGATGTTTGCTTCGATTCTCTCTTTCTCCGACGGCAGCTCGTCTCTGTCATCTTTTTTTCATTTTTTTTTTCCGACTTCTTCAAACAGTTGTCGAGACGCACGCACGCGGGCGGTGATCGGTGATCGGTGATCGGTCGAGGGCTCGCCAACGGCTGCCGCGTGCTAATCGCGGCTAATCAGCGGGGCGGCTTTTACGAGCGTCGTTCGAGCAGCGACGAACGGCCGTTCCCGGTTGCGCCGCCGCGATTTACGTCCGGCGGGAATCGCGGCTCGTGTAGTACGTCGCGTAAACGCGCGATCGGCGCGATTCGGTCTCTCTCGTGCGCCAAACGAGCGGGCCCGACGACGCAGCTTAATGGGAATCCTTTTCAGTAGTAGCGACCGATAAGAGCTCGGCCGTAGCCCGGCGAGGACGCAGCTCGGAGGACGATTCGAGAGACGCGGATTTCGGGAGAAGTGATCCTTCCTTCCTTCCTTCTTCCCGCCCTCCTCCCTCCCCACCTCGGCACCTCGGCCTGCCCCTCGGTCCTTTGCGCCCTCTCGTTCCGACCTCCTCTGCTTCGATGGCGCGCCGCGGGAGCTCGGCTTGATTTCTCACGCCGTTCCTGCCGCGGCGAGTGGGAAACCAAGTTGGAGACACTTGCGTGCGCGACGTCGTCGTCGTCGACGTCGACGTCGACGTCGTCGTCGTCGTCGTCGTCGTCGTCGTCGTTGTCGAGAGCCGGAGGAAGGAAGGAAGGAACGAGCGCGAGCGAGTCCGTCCCCTCGTCGCTTTGAACGTCCACACTTGTCTCTTTCTCTCCCGCAGTGTCCTTGGGACTAACCGACCGCACTAACGTAAGTTCGATCCGTGAAAATCCTATACAAAACGTCCATGGTCTTAAAGAGACTCTGCTTTTGCTCTGGTAATCGCTTGATATGGTATGTCTGCAACTGCATGCGAGTTCTCTCTCACGAGTCAGCTGACTGTTCGCAAGGTCTTATATCGCCGTAATACGTACGACGCACGTTGGTCCGTCGAAGTCGAGAAGACTGCGCGCGCGATGCAACTTTTCTGGCAAGAGTTCCTCATCGGCAAATCCGAATTGTTTTTTTAGACGAGAAGAGAGCGTCGCGCGGGGAGAAATGGAAATATTCGCGCGGGATTGAAAAGAGTCCTCCCGACGGAGGCGGGAGAAAATCGACGGCGAGACTTCGCCGTCGCTCTTCGGCCGATCAACGTGCTCCCCCGGGTTCGCGCGAGAAACGTCGAGATCGAGATCGAGATCGGGAAGAAGCGGCACTCTCTCTCTGGAAACTCTTCTCCGCCAGCTTGTTGTCGAGTCTTCCTCGCGACGACGCACGCACGCACGCACTTTAGCGCGTCTCCACCCCCCCCCCCCCCCGCCCCCACGATCTCGATCTCGCGCATTTCGCGCGTGGACGGTAGAGTGGTGAAGTGGTGAATTTAGCGGCCGAGCGAGCGCGTGCCGCCCGGCACGGCGTTTCCTAAGCGGCGAATTAACACGACTTTCCTTCCGTCGGGATGGCAATCCCGGTAGAGGGCCGCGAGTGCGTCAACTGCGGCGCCACGTCGACGCCGCTCTGGAGACGGGACGGCACCGGCCACTACCTCTGCAACGCCTGCGGCCTTTATTACAAGATGAACGGCCAGAACCGACCCCTCATCAAGCCGAAACGACGCCTTGTAAGTACCTAAGCTTTGTTCATTCCCGCGAGAGAGCGCGAGCGAGCGACCGAATTCGTCGCGCAGATCGTGTCTCTCGATCAGTACTGTCGTTACTGTTATTAGTACTATTGTTACTATTACTACTAGTCTCGATAAACAGAGGCGAGACGCTTCGAACTTCGTTCGGGGAGAACTCGCGAGAGAGCGGTCGTTCGCTTCGCTCGTAACGCGAATCTGTCATCGTCACTCTGCGAAAAAATGGCGAGGAAACGCGCGCGAGGCAGCGTGTGAGGCAGCTCGTCCAAAGGGACGAGCGAATCTCACGATATCGGCCAACATCGCCGTGTCGAATGCGAAAAGAATCGATTCCATAGCCGTCGGCCACTTACGTGGCCGCAGAAGCGCGCGCGCACGTCCTTGATCGCTTCCTTGACGCGGGAGCGCGAGGCGCACATACTTAATTAACGGCACGAGTGCGATACGGGAGCAACGCCGCGCGCGCGCGGTAATCAGAATGCAAGATGATACAAGGCCGACTTAATTTCCTGTTACCCGCTGATTAATACGCTCCTCTCCGCGCCGCTGTGATTAGCGCCCGCCCGTCGAATCACAGTCCTCTCGCGCGGAGGAGGATACCGGGGAATTCGTCGCGCCAGCGAGCGGGGTGAACCTCGGCCACATATGTGGAGGAAGGAGAGTCGAGGAGACATGAGTCTCGCGTCTTCCGAGACAGAGACCCGACTAGAAACTTATCCCATGATGTCCAAATGAGGTTAACCTCATTTGGACACCAGGTCTCAATAAGGTAATATTATCGGGTCCTAGTAAGTCACGTAACGCAGCGTGGATATCAGGACCTTAGTAAGGATTCATAGTCAGGTTACCTTATGGAATCATTATTACGTTTTTTTTTTTTTTTTTTTTTTTTTTTTCGAATTATGACTCCTGATTACTCGCCACGGCTATATTGGATGATGACGTTAGAAATAAGAAATGATACGCTGAAAATTCTTTCATGTCATTTCCAAATAAAAAGATATTTGCATGAAATAATATTTTAGATCGCTTGAGCATACTTGTAAAATGTTTCGGAAAAGAAACATAAAATGAATATCATAAGATCATTAAGTGTCACAAGGTGACAAAACATAAAATAGTGTTAAAGAGAAAAGTTGCGTGTCACGTTAATTTTACAACTATTTATTGACTGCTAAAAAAGGATAGTTTCTATAGCATTGTACAAATATATTCAAGTGATCTGAAGTGTTTTTTCAATTCAAACATCTTTATATTTGGAAATGACACCCAGAAATTGTTTTGTTAAAACTTGATAATGCAAATCGTATTAGGTACAATGAATGATCCCGACAAGGACTTGATTAACTGAACCATATTATATCATACACTAGGTTGGTACATTAAGGACCCAATCGTTATAACCTTATAAAAGTCTTTCTTACTCATTTGTCATTAGGACATTATAAGGACTGACTTACTTAGGATTACCTTTCATTCACCCTATTAGGTCCTTATCAATGTTAGGTGAACTTAATCAAAATTTCTAGTCGGGGAGACAGACAGAGAGAGAGGAGAGAGAGAGAGAGAGAGGAGGAGGAGAGGAGAGAGAGAGATCTCGGAATTACTTATTTATTTATTTTATCACACATGCATCCGCCTATTAGAAACGTCGCGTGTGACTCTTGCGGGTTTCCGCACGCGCGACGGCAGGAAGAAATCGGCTTCGCAGAGTCTTGTCGAGAGCAGAGGGAGAAAGAGAGAGAGAGAGAGAGAGAGAGAGAGAGACCGGATCTCGAAGCTGCGCGGATTGCGTTTTCGCGATAACTCGCTTCGTCCTCGCCGTCGTCGAGGCGTTTGCGAACTCGTAACACATCGGGACGCCGTTCGATCGATATCACGAGCGAGCGGTGGTGGCCGCCGGTGCTTTCGTGCGATCAGCTCGTAGAATTCGTGTGAACTCGATCTATTTTTGGCCACTCGGCTTGGCACCTATGTAGATGGAACAGCCTCGTCCGAAGTACCGATGCGGAAACTCGATACGGCCGCCGCCGCCGCCGTACCGCGCGCCGGCCCTTCCTCCTCCTCCTGCTCTTCCATCATTCGGACTCCTCCCGGTGCTGCGATTCGATCTGACTAAACACTCGCGAGTTATTCGCGGAATCGATCACGAAAGCGGCCGGAACGTCCGCTTTCGCGCTATATGCGCCTCGCCGCCCTCGTGCGATTCGTCTCCCCAAAGATCACGGCAGCCGAGCCTTTCTTTTCTTCTCCCTTTTCACCCCCTTTACTCCTATCTCGTCTTCTTTCACGCGAAAGCGCTCCGCGGAAGAATCGCCAGTCGATTGTCGTTCCTCCCGCGACGGTCTTTGAAAAGTTTGTCGAGGAGCCATCGCGATATCGTCTCCGGGGAGGTCTTCAGCGTACTTTTGCGATTAACCCTCGATGTACCATCAAGTCTGACATTTCACTTTGGCTCTCATTAGAGTTCCAATCTTAGTGTCCAATTTCCTTGCCAAGCAGCTCTAACAAAACTCGTAAGGATCGTAAGGAACTCGTAATAGCTTCTTCATAAGTGACTTCGCATTTTCTCACAAATTCTATGTAGAATAAATTAATCTCTTGTTTAATTAGTACTACGGTGGTATGTCAGGGGTCAACATACGTGAGCCACGCGAAAAGAGAGAGAGGGAGAGAGAGAGAGAGAGAGAGAGAGAGAGAGAGAGAGAGAGAGAGAGAGAGAGACCTGTTTCTTTGAGAGAAAGGGAGAGCGAGAGAGAGAGAGAGAGAGAGAGAGAGAAGAAAAGAAAAGAGATTTTCGCGGCAATCGCGCAATCCTCCACCGCCGGCTGGCCGCGACTTTCACGAGCCGGGCAACCCTCGCGTGCGCGAGAGAGTCCCGACTTGGAAGTAGAAAACGGAGCTCGCGAGGACGTTCCGCGCGCGGCCAATCCGCCGCGTGGGTTGCGAGCGAGCCTGGCGCTCAGAAGCGCGCAGCGCGCTCGGTGTGCATTGACGTTTCACTATCCCTCTCGTTGCACTTTCTCCTCGGTGCGCGATAGAGCAAGGCTGATGGATTCCAAAGTTTTTCACCGGCCGCGCGCGGCGCAGCGCCGTCTCCTCCGTCGTAATTGCAATCGCCGCGCCGCACGCCATGCGTTCGTTAATTGACGAAGTTTTGCCAACAACATCGCATCGCGTTCGCTCGCAACGCCTCGCCTCGTGATTTCTTACGCGGCTTCTCTCTCTCTCTCCCTCCCTCCCTCCCTCCATTTTTTCTCCTCGCCTAAGCCCGCCGCGATGACGCTCTCTTTCACGAGGCGCGTATACGCGGCTTCGTGATTTCGCGCGCGAGACAGAGAGAGAGAGAGAGAGAGAGAGAGAGAGAGAGAGAGAGACCTCGCTCGAGCGCGTCGCGCGAAACTCGCGTTTTCTTTCGCGCGGTGAATGACTCGAGATTTTTCCCTCCGATTATAATCCCGACTTTTTTCGACCGAGCGCGCGCGCGCGCGCGCGGTCAATCTTCATGGGAAGAAGGGACTGCGGCTGCGGCTCACACACGGTGTGAAGAGTCTCGCGCGTTTTTCGACGTGTCGTCTCTCTTGAGAGCGGATCGGTTTGTCGCGGAATCGGAATCCTTCCGACGACGACGTCGGGTGGGACACTCCCGGTGCGCGTCCACCCCCATCCTCTCCGTGCGCGCACCCGTCGTCACCGATTAAACAAAGACAATCGTTCGGCGCGTCCTCCCGCCCGCGCCGCCGAGGGCCTCGCGGAGAGTACAAATATTGTGACGTGATGATGCACCGACACGCCCACCCATCATTCATTTGCGTGCACGCGCGCACCCTCGCACACGCGCGCTGCGCTGCTCTTAAAAGCCGGCCGGCCGGCCGGCCGGCCAGTCGACGCTGCCGAGAGCGCTCGATAAAATATGTATCGATTTAAAAGCGGTGGGCGTACGCACGTGTGCGTGCGTGCGACAACTTTCGGCCGCTCCGTAATTTCCCCGTCGCGTCCTTCCTGTCACATCGTGACGCGCGTGAGCGGACGAGCATCGGGGGACAGTCTTTTTCCGGGCATTATTCAGCGCGCCGCTTATACTTGTCCCTGCTTGCTTCCGGATGAAAAATTCATGCGGGGCCGAAATTCATCCCCGATTGCGGCTTGTCCCGGCGAAATGACGACCGATCGATCCGCCGACCTCGTTCGCGTCGGTAAATGACGCCGCCGCCGCCGCCGCCGCTGGTGCGGTGTGTAACAATAGCGGCGCGCCGGAGCGTTCCGGAGCGCGTGGGAAACGTTATGAAAATGGCTCATCTGTTATTCAACGACAGCCGACATCGCGTCCGAATAAGAAAATCTCCGCGATAGCGCGCGATCGTTCACGTGAATTCCGCGGCCTCGGCGACGCGAGGTCCGCGATGCGAGTCGCAGCCGCCGGCTACGCTCGCTGAGATTCTCCGCTCAGCGGGAACAACACGCGTCGCGGTATCCTTAGGATTTCTCGAAGCGAGGAGGCTGCTCCGTCTTCAGCCGTCGAGCGAACGTCTCGCTGCCAAAGTGCTGAAGCTGAAGTATCATACTTTCGCCGTCGAGTGAGTATCGTCGCTCAAGATTCGAGTAATTTTTCCCCCTTTTCTTTTCTCTTTTTTTTTTTCTTTTTTTCTTTAACGGAGCCTTGAGCGAATTTTCACTCGTTTCCAGCGAGACTGGAATGAAGAAATTGGTTTGTCTGAACTTTCGTCGCTGAAATGATCGGTATACCGACCAAAAAAGGGATGCGCTCGCGAAGTGCATATGCCGCCGCAGCAATATGTTGCATTTTAGCTCGCGCGTCACCGCTGGAGAATCCAGTCACAGATGTGTCGCCGAAAAGAACGGAGCGCAGATACGATCGAGGAAACAAAAGGCGGCCACCAGGTATACGCGCGCACGCGGGTGTGCGCGCGGCCCATCTCCCGTATATAATAAAGTCGTGGCACATATTGCCCGCTTTCTCT